TCTTCAGTTCCACAGAGGCCCACCAGAGAACAAGGGCTTAGCACAGCTGAGAAGGTAGGGATGCACCGATCCGATATTTTTGTCGGTATCGGTCCAGATATAAGGAAAAAAAAAACTTGATCGGTATCGGTTACAATTGACTCGATATAGGGGCCGATCTATTCATTCTAACTCTATGCTGTGCTCTGCTGTCATGCAGCAGCACAACAACACAACACGGCCATATTGTTTATGATGGAGCGAGCAAAAGGATCTGCGGTGTGGAGGTTTTTCAGGCTCTCTCGGCCTACTAGCCCAATGGCTACGTGCAATATTTGTGGGAGAAATGTTCCGAGGGGCGGTGTTAAATCGTCAAACTATAAAACCACCAACTGAATGAAACTCCTCCAAAAGTTTCATAACAAGGAACATGCTGAGATTATCAAACTCGGCAAACAAAAAGGAAGCAGCGGGAAGCAGCTAATTTCTTTAGAATCAAAGGAAAGAAGTGAATTTTTTCCATTTTATGCTATACAGGCCAAAAAAAATCATAGAGATGAAACTTGATAATGACACTTTTTTTTTAACATGTTGACCAAGTCAGAGAACTTTTGGTTTAAGATTTTGTGCACAGTTGTTAAATAAATGAGTCATAACATTTATATTTGGGTTGTTTCCTATTTTTTTTTTTTAAGAAAAGGCAAGTCAAATCATATGCACAGAAGAATGATCCCTATTTTTTATATTTTTTTTCACACAATAAAACAATTTTTTAGGTAATAATTCAGTGCTTTTTTTTGTTTCGGTATCGGATCGGTATCTGCTGACATTAAACCCCAAATATCGGTATCGTATCGGAGGTGAAAAAAGTGGATCGGTGCATCCCTATGAGAAGGAAAAATTTCAATTTTCAAAGTCTTTACTGGGTTGATTCATAAGAGATAACATCCATACCATAGAATTGGCGAAGCACAGTCCAGGACACTTTTAATTTTGGTTTTCCTCCTTTACTTCTTTGAGAAAACTTTTTAAATATCAGCTGTAAATCTTTAGGAGTTCATCTCGTCTCATTGCTCTGTTTTCAAATATTCTTTTTTCTTAGTCTTGATCTTCTAATGTCAGTAGGAAAATATAATGTCAGTATTAACAATGTAAGCTTTATAGAAACTGACAAAATGCACATAAAGGAGGCCTGTTTAAAAACAAAAAAAAAACAACTGAAAAATTGTCCTCATATATAATATTTTAGAAATATTTGCCAAAAATAAGAAAAACAGGTAAAGCTACCCTAAAACCTGGAACATCACTCAGTGTAAAATGCTGCAATCATAGACTGTAATTTATTTTGTACTATTTATTTATCTTGATATACTGTATATACCTTGATATGCTGCATATATATATTGTTTATTCTTAATTCTTAAATTTTCTCCTTGTTTGCACCTTCTTCTTTAATTACTATGCCAATATGTGACCAGTGAATTTCTCCGCTATGAGATCAATAAAGCTCATCTCATCTTATCTAACTATTTATGTATTTGCTTATCTAGAGATTTGGATATATTTAGTTCATCATTAATGACTAAAAGTCTTAATATCCTTTCTGCTTCAGACAGTCTCGTAATCTCTTTTTAATGGCTTAATGAAAGTTATATTTAGTTCTTTTTGAATCCCTGAAGTTCTTGCTCTCACTTAACCAGACTTTAAGTTGTAGAGCAACGATATCATTTTGTCACCCTCCTAAATGAGCCTTTTGGGAGTTTGTGGTGTGGCCACTGGTCAGACGGGTGACTCCATTACATATTTGTTGTGCGTCTGCCCCTGTGGCTTCCAACCAGCACGCAGCTCCACAAAACAGGAAACGGGGAGGTGAAGCCAGGGTCTATGGGATAATGTGGCCTCAAAGGAGCTTCTTGTTTAGAAGCAGGGCTGCAGCTCTTCGCTCTTGTTTTTGTTTCCGTTTTGTACTTGCATGGAACGTTTTGACCCTGGCACAAGGACAGGAAAACATGACACCGACCGAAGCCTTAAAAGCTGCGTGGATGGATGAGGAGGTGCAGGTGCCCCTTTTTGCTTTAAGCAGAAACAGTTTGGCCTTGGTGCCAACTGACTTTCATGGTGCTTAACCTGCAGATGCTGGAAATTATCCTAGAAATGCATGAGAAGAATGTTAGCCTGAAGGCACTTACTAAAATCTATTTTAACTCTGATCTACACTTCATCTGTTCTTTTCAAGTGGTCGTCTTTGCCTCACACCTTAAAGGATTGTATATTGGAACAATGTTTTAACTTTTAATTCAACCCTTTATATGCTTAAGAAACTAATGACTAAAAGTATTTGCATAACTGTTACTGGAACACTGCAAACACAGAACAAGTTATCTTCCTTTTAAAGCAAATTTCTAACGGACTCTTTGGAACCAGACCAACAGGATCAAGAATGACATTTTCTTCAGATATCGAAGCCTAAGATCTACATGAGCAACATAATTTATTTATGAATTCCTGTTGGGATAAACATTTTAAAATCCCAAATGGTTATGTGTCTTCTTATGTTTTGTTGAGGATGAGTTTGCAGCACAAAGAGAGGATGTTCGTTTAGGGAAACAAAGCCACGCTTCAGGGAGAATCCTTTTCAGCATGATCAAATGGCATTTTTCACGTGCTAATATGATGTTTAGGTCGTCTCTTCATTGAAAACAGGATAGTTTGTATGATAGATGTCAGAAACCTTCCATTTAGTCATACATCCAAACAGGACCTGTTTCTCTTCGGTCAGTTCCTGAGCAGTTCATTTAAAGCTCGCCTTGCATGTAAAGCAGGGAATGGGGAAAAATGTGTGTGTGTTTGTCTATGTAGTTCAGGAAGGGTACTTAGGGATGAATGCCCTGACTTAGAGTCTTTCAGAGAGTGCAGTCGGAAAGTTTGAGCAAGAAAAAAGGCGCAGGCTAACACGGCTGATGGAAATTAGACCCACTGACGACGCTGCCTACAGACAGGAGCTGCAGATTCACGAAGACGTTGCATCCACTAATCCTATGAGTCTCCTCATAACGTAACTTGGGTTTCTACACAACTGAAGACATCAAGATATTTTTATGGCCATTTAATTCAAATTTAATTCTAAATACCTGATATTAGATTCATTTATGGCAGT